ACAAATAACTTTAGCCCATCTTATTATTTCGAATTCTAAAAGTGCCATGGTCATTGTGCCAGACCCATTTCGGCGGTCGACCTCTTCGGGAGTGGATTACTCCGGAAGCCGAAGTGGTGCCGACAAATGAATGGCATTAATTTGTAGCTCAATAAACACTGTATCAAAACAAACCAACGATTAAAAAATTTTGGCTAAATTTGGTCAAAAAAATTACGTCCTAGACAAATTCCGAAAAGTTATATCGATACCTTATAATAGGAAACAATAATAATAATAACGATTGGCTTATATTTCCAAATGCTTTGACACACAGAGTGTCCAGTAATGACTTGTGTGCCGTATCTGACAATAAGTTACAAACGCACAAACACTATACAAAAAAGTTTGTGGACTTTTTTTAAAGAATCTCTTATTATAACAAGTGTTCACTTGATATAAGTACAAAAAATATCATGTTTTAGACCATACAGACCGAGGCGTCCGCCCTACAGTTGTTCACATACTCTGTACATACCGAAAAAACAAGACAATTTTTACCGGCAATACTATTCCACATCAAGTTCAAATATGTTTTTTCTGAATCAAGATATATACTAACTACATATTATTACTCTCACCCCTAAAACTTACAAACTAAAACTTATATTTCCATTACAAACTACAATGAATCATATTTGAACTTGATGTGGAATAGTATTGCCGGTAAAAATTGTCTTGTTTTTTACGGTATGTANAATAGAAGGCATGTCTGGCAGTACTTCAGGTCTCTCTCTCTCTCTCTCTTTCTCAGTTTACTTATAATCCATTAAAACATCCATTTATTCGTTTGGATCAATATCTTGAGAGAGAAATAATAAAAATAAAAACACAAATTGCTTGAGAATAGAGATACAGAATAAGAGCTAATCCTTTAAATGTTTTTTTCTGATCATTTAATAACGTCTCGAAGCGATTGTTTCCTATTCTCAACTCTTAACGATTTTAGTCTATGTTTTGAACATCCGTTGGATTACTTGAAAACAATGAAATGTTTTACAAAAAAAAATCAAAATTTCTAAATACTTTTCAAAATTAAAGACTTATTTTGCCAAATATATACTTTACAATATTAAATTATATTTTACATTAACAGTATTTATACAATAATTTACTCTCAATAGTGGCTTTCAATGAATGTTTGGTATAAAAACCAGAGCTTTTGTCAGATCTGTGTTTTAAATTCTCTGGCATTAAATGTAAGAAAGATTTTTCTTTATTTTGACTCTCATGTATTTCAACGAAATACTGTACAAACCTTTTGGCGGAACTGAAACTCAAATTCAGTGAACAGTAGAGAGAGAGAGAGAGAGACCTGAAGTACTGCCAGACATGCCTTCTATTAGAGATAATGTTTTGTTGGATATATTTTATTGTTAACTCAGTAATGAATTCAGGAAATTATTTATCAAAAATATATCCTTTATTTTTATATTAAAATTTCATTTTATTTAAAGTATAATTTTTGTGATGCTTTTGATTAGAATATTCACGCATTGGATTTTTATTTCCTTTTGATGTATAATTTAACACTTTTTCCCTAAAAATTTGGATATTAAATGAAATGAAAATTTAAGTTAACATTTTTAATGAGTGAATATTGAAAAACGCAAATCGCTTTCGCTTTTTAAACAGCGAATATATTTTAAAGTGTAGTCATAAGAAAAATTGTTGTTTTTATTTCTTGTATTCTTTGAGCTCTTCTGTTGTATTGTATTTCACAGAATATATACCAGAAATATATATAAAACTCTTAAGATTTCAGTATTAAATTACACGTTATATCTGCAGATATAAAAGCAAACAGTTTTAGGTTTTAGAAAAATTGCTTTGAAAGTCAAAATACATTTATGGCATAAAATACACACGATTTGCATAAAAATCGGGAGAATAGGGCTTTTGTTCTGTCAGTTATATTCATGTCTTTTGTTGTATTTTCATTGAATCGTTAGGAGGAATAATAATTAATGTAATTATTTAATATATGGTAATTAACATTTGGAATTTACAAATATCATTATTATTTATTTGAGTTTTAATTATGTATTTAGTATTTCGTGAATGATTGATGTTTTAATGAATTTTCCCATTATACCAAGAGTATAATACAGGGATTTTGTTTATAACCATTGTTTGTTTAAAATTGGAAAATATTTTAATGTAATAATACTATAAATATTTTATGATAGGTTTTGTGTATTTGTTACGTTAACCAACAAACTTACACAATATTATACTTGCTGTGTGTTTAAGACACTCTACTCGAGTGTCAAGTCAATCGTCTCTCTCTCTCTTTCTCTCTCTCTCTCGCACTAACTCTAATGCATACAAAAAACAAATTTCAATTGATAATTAAGAAGTTAATGTCTCATCAACTCCATTTGAACCAAAAATTATCGATTAAAACAATTGTCTGATGAGAAGCATTTTAGTCACACAAATATTAGCTCTCTCTCTCTCTCTCTCTCTCTCTCTCTCTCATATGTATTGCAATCCTTAGAGATTTAGTCTTCTATTCGTTAATCTCAACGGAAGACTTTACGTACGTTTCGACCCAACAAACAGTATAAGACTTTTTGATATTCTCGATGACAGACATCCACTGCCTGTGTATAAGATATTTACCGCTTTTTTACTTTTGGAGACTTTTAGAAAAGCCAATATTTTTGAACAAGAGTTTTAAGGAATTGGGAAATTGAATTGATTGGTCCGCTGAGAAATTTATACCCAATTTTTCACACAATTTATACTTTAAATTGTCTCTCAATTTGTTTCTTAATTTGATTTACTTTTTAAACTTATAAACTAATGATTTCGAGTAAAAGTTTATATTTTTACAGTTAGAAAATGTGTTTAATATTTATTTACCCAATAATTGAGACTTATTTGGATCCGTGTTTGCGATAAGCAGTATATAAATATATTATTGCTTTCAATGCCTTTAGTAATAAAGATATATATAGTTCTGTCATAACATGTAATTTATTCCGTATTTTGAATAATTATTAGTGAAGCCATTAATAGGAAAGCAGTCATAAATCAGACCATATTTAATAAATATATAGGTTTTACGCTATCTTTTAAATATAATAAATGGTTTTCTATCACCAAAACACCAATTCTAACAACTCGTCCAGTTTTTCAACAGAATTCGCTCTCATATTTCATTTGTCGCCCGAAAATGCATTTGAAATTTATTCAGTTTTATTCAATATTTGCGTCAATCATATGATTGATAGAAATTTTACTTAAAAACACCACACATTGTCTAAAACATGATATTTTTTGCACTTATATCAAGTGAACACTTGTTATAATAAGAGATTCTCTAAAAAAAAGTTCACAAACTTTTTTTGTGTAGTGTTTGTGCGTTTGTAACTTATTGTCAGATACGGCACACAAGTCATTACTGGACACTCTGTGTGTCAAAGCATTTGGAAATATAAGCCAATCGTTATTATTATTATTATTGTTTCCTATTGTATAACGACAGCAATATTTGGCAACAATTCTCAATTGACTATAGCTTTCTGTATGCGATAGACGAGTGTATGTGAAAAGAATAACAACGTTGTAAATGATGAGACATTAACTTCTTAATTATCAATTGAAATTTGTTTTTTGTATGCATTAGAGTTAGTGCGAGAGAGAGAGAGAGAGCTAATATTTGTGTGACTAAAATGCTTCTCATCAGACAATTGTTTTAATCGATAATTTTTGGTTCAAATGGAGAGTTCGTGAAAGGGATGTGACATTAGTTACACAACTAATACCTATAGATTAAGTCCTTAGTTGTTAGTCTTCAAAATGACATTACTTTCAAGAGTTAATAACAATAATAATACTCCTATTTCGCTAACTATACCTCTATTTACAATCAAATATATCAGTGTTTGATGTATAGTAACGAACACACAATGTATTCGTTAAGCTCTACGCCTATTGTCATAATTGTCACAATCTATGGCTTCAACACAAATAGAAATCCAATTTTTCAAACGCTCACAAAAAAAAAGTTTTTTCCATCAATAGATCATTTATAAAGAATTCAAAAGAGTTTTTAAATGAGTTTTTCGATACTTATAGTTATTTTAGTTATTAGTGTAAAGCGATGTTAAATGAGGAGAGAGAGAGAGAGAGAGTTGGAGATGATGTTTAAAATATTGAATCAATTGGAAACCATAAGTGACTGCCGGCGCTAAATACTGCACAGAAATTTTTTAATTGTTGGTTTGTTTTGAAACAGTGTTTATTGAGCTACAAAATAATGCCATTCATTTGTCGGCACCACTTCGGCTTCCGGAGTAATCCACTCCCGAAGAGGTCGACCGCCGAAATAGCTTTGGCAATGCTATCCAATGAGAATAAATATTTTTGACAACTAAAAGTGGCCAAATAATTTAATTGGCCCGATCAAATGTTGAAATATTGAATCAATTCTTTCCGAGTCATTAACCGTAAAATATACTCTCAATGACCGTATTATACATTTCTAATTGATAGCTGCCATTAAAGGCCAACACTAACTATACGGTGCAGTTGTGTGCCATTAATCTGAGCGGTTGCGGCTCATGGACTCCCATTGACTCCAACGCCAAGTGCTCGACCGGTCCTCATCTTCAGCACCACTTTCCCGACATTCGGTTAGAGACGACCGGATCTATGGGTCAGTTAAAGCTGGTGTTTCCCCGAGTGTCCGAACGGTTCGGTTCGGTCACCTGTTATCGCGTGTTTGTCGTGAAACTACCCTTCGGTTACACACTATCAGACCTGAGCCCCTATAAGCCATCGGAGCTCAACCTAACCAGTTATGCGAGAGTACATTACCATCAAGTGTTCAAACCGGAGGCGTATATCGCCGACGAAATACCATCGCATGAATTCAATAACGAAGTAATAATAGGCGACCGAAAGTATACGAGTTGTTTGGATGTGGAGAAAGACAATCTGGCGCTGAATGGGGCGGAGGAGGAGCTGGTGTCTAATGGGGGTGAAGTGATCGATGATGGCCCATTAGCCGAGCTCACCAATTACACCGGTTTTGTCGAAATACACGTCTTGGGCGCTAATGGAGTCATTTTACGCAAACAGAGCGCGTATTTGAGTCCAATTCAGACCACATCCTCGCCGTTGCTATCGATGCCGACCTCAACCAACGCTGTGTCGCCCCTCCTGTCGTCGATCGGCAATCCCAGCACTACTACTATCCTGTTATGCCTTATTAGCGGCGTTGCCGTCATTTTGTTGATTATAATTTTGATACTATGGCTACTAATCCGTCGCAACAGTGACTCCAATAGCGGCGGACACGCCGTCAGGACTCACGACAAACTCAATTCAATTCAACGCTCAAAACACGTTCACTCGAACGGCATTGTTATGAATGGAGTTTTGCCGACAACAACGACAACGCGGACACTGAATGGCGGCCACGTGTCGGTGCACTCGGCCGACAGGGAGGGCGACAATCCCGTTGTGGCCATTCATGTGATTAATTTGCCGCAAATATTTCGCGAAAGAAGTGCTCAAAATAATCGCCTCTTCGAAGTGGAGTTCGATTCGTTGGCCAAATGTTTCGCCGACAGGACGTGTCTGAGCGGCGAACTCGCGGACAACGTGCCGAAGAACCGCTGTCCGGATGTCAAGTGTTTTGACGAAACGCGGGTCCGTCTGTCGCCGATCGACGGACAGCCGCACAGCGATTACATAAACGCAAACTTTGTCTCCTATAACCAAAAGTTGTACGTCTGTTGTGAGGGACCGCTCGAGTCGACTGTCAAAGACTTTTGGCGAATGATCTATGAATACGAGTGTTCAGTGATTGTGATGTTAACGGGTTGTGAAGAACAGGGGTCTGAGAAATGCGCTCAGTATTGGTCTGACGACGGCATCAAAACCATTGATAATCAGTTCACGGTTTGTGTGCAAAGTGTTCGCATTTATTCCGATTATATCATACGTCGGTTCCAGTTGTCGACCATTGATCACAGATATACCAGAGATGTCCTGCAGTTTCATTACATGATGTGGAAAGACGTGTCGCCCACAGAGCTCTTGCCGTCGGGTATATTAAGGCTTATAAAACACGTGAACGAACACTACTGTCCAGACAGAGGGCCTATAGTTGTCCACTGCTCCACCGGTTTGGGCCGATCGCCCACTTATATCGCCATCGATTCACTATTGCCTGAAATCATATCCGGTTTCGTCAATATCTATGAGTGTGTACTCAATCTTCGGTACCAACGGAACCAATGCCTCCACACCGCAGACCAATACGTCTTCATCTATAGAGCGCTTCTGGAGTTCGCTATCTTTGGCGACACCGAAGTAGATGTCGAACAATTCGGTCATTATCTTCATCTTTGTGTCCATTTTTCTGTCTTTATATCCATTAGTTTATTGTATTGATAATGACATTTTCAATGCACCATAAGCTCAAACTAATAGCAAATTATAAGTAAATGTAACGAAAATTTGGTGTGAAATTTATGACACATGTATTTGCGGTTATATTTCACATAAAATGCATATAATATGTGATTAATTCCGCTCACGAATAGGCTATGAATTTAAAACGTTAGACATTAAGGGATTATAATAGTTATACATTTTGCTAAAGCATTAGATTTATAAATAACAAAATTATGTGAAGTGTTTGAAAATATAATTTTCACGACATTTCTCTTTATTATTAATTGAATTCATTTAACACTTAATTTCTTTCATAAATTTCATTTATTATTTGCATAAAAAAAATTCAATCAATTTACTAAAAGCTTTTATTATAAGCGCTATAATAAACACAAGAAGTTTTAATATATAGCGAGTATTTTGCATAAATTTGATTGAGGAATAAATAAAACATTTAAATATCGTTAAAATGATATATGCATTGTACGCATATATTTTATAAGGGCTTATAATATTATTACATTGTTTATTTTATACGCTGTATATTAATATTTAATTTTAAATTTAAATAACTTTTATTATATTTTGTTTTAATAGAAACCTATTATCAGCAAATAATTGAGGAGCAAATAGATAACGTGAATCTACTTAATACACAATTTGATGTAAGTATTCAAGTATTATAAATATTAAAAATTATATTATTTATTAATTATTTTCCGATATAACAGAGACTGGAGTTTACAGTAGAGGATCCGAAATCATGTGAATACGGATTATTGCCTGAGAATATAGATAAAAATCGGTTCACTCATGTCATCCCATGTAAGTTATTGTAAATTATTAATTAGTTTTCAATTTTCCGGTAAAGTTGTTAATAAAAAAAAGTTTTTTATTCAATACAAATCAATGACACTCTTATCAAATAAGAGAATTTAAGTCTCGTTTTCGCTATAAATGTTTATATATTTTTCAAAAAATGAGATTTTCTTCTTTGGTTTTTGAAATTTTCTCCTTTCATTCAGGAAACGATTGCATAGAGTCTATGCCATAGACTTTTTAGTGATGAACACATACTATGTATTGAATAGAAATTTTCTTTTGTCGACGAAAATCGATTTCAGCCCAAAAACATCTTAAATCTAGAGGACATCTAATTCTAAGCTCGCAGTTTTTTTGGCAACTTTTTATGAAATATATAACCTTTTGATACCAAGTTTTAAGGCAAACATCAAATTCAATTTAATAGTGAAATGTGTGAATGTCTGCCACTATTTTCTGACACATCTCTGATCTATCAAACACTGGAACTGTCTTTGAATCTCACGATATATTTATATACATATATTGTCTGCACTTTTCTAGTATTAGTCAAGAGATTTTAGGGGTCCATAGGTTTGGCCAATATTTGTATAAAAATGAGAGCAAATATTCCGTACGTCTGACAGAATATACACAAACAGACTATAACTGCAAAAAGTTATGTAAATAACATATTCTCTACAAATATGTTTAGAAACGAATGAATACTTAGAGTCAAGAATTTATTTTTCCCAAATCTATGCCTAAACTTAACTTATTGTAAGAATCAATTCAAGTAATGCTTAAAATATTGAAATCACAAACTTTAAGCTCTCTGTTGTATAACAACAACAAAAAAGAGTATTTTATTTTATATTGATTTCTTGGTCTCAAGTATTGAATTTTTACTATACTTTCATCAAAATAATTATACGTGATGTCAATACAAATGATTTGGTTTTTTATATTAAACAAATCCGATGTCTTTACTTTGCATTGATATGAATTGTCAATACACTACACTTCAGTGACTGAAGAATGTAAATATTAAACATTGTTATTCATAACCGCATAGATATTTTGACATGGTGTTTACAATTCACAAGCTTATATATTGTTTAAGATATAAATGTACAACTTTATGACATAATAAAATACATTAAAACTATATATTTTAAATTATAATGGTATAATAAATTTAACTAATGTTCAAAATATAAGGGTTTTAACAAAATTAAGATTAATTTCCAAATAAATCTAAAAATTTTATTTTTATAAATCTCTACTAAAATGAATACAAAGATGTGTTCAAAGTCTTATACATAAATAAATGATTACATTTCTGCAAATATAGTGTCATTTCCAATACATTATATAATTTATAATAATTAAAACTCATAACTCTATCGCATGCAGTGATAAATGAATTTTATAATCTCTGACCCCTTTATAAGATTGATTAGACATTTGCCTCGTTTTCATATATCATTTATTGTGTGTTTTTCTACTTATTTTTGCCGCAAATTCTTATCACTAGAAACGATAAGAAACAGGAATTGAGTCGTTTTGCTCAACACTAATAGCTCGTCAAATAATCGCAACTATTTTTCTACATTTTTAACATTCATTATTCTTAACATATATTCCTTACTTTGAAAAATATTTTAAATTATATTTATTGTAAAGAATTGTTTTGAATACAAGATTCCTTGAGTTTGTTATTAAAATATCTCAAATAATTATATTTAATTCTTTGCGAGACTTAATACAGATATAGAAATGTTTACATAGTTTTGCATTCAATTAACATTTTTCTCCGAGTATGAAATGATTACATATAAGGTTATGTTGTGTTAAATAAACATTCATTTAATATAAACTGGTAAATAAAGTTTATAGTAGTATTAATACTAGTCGTAACATTAGATTTGAATTGCAATTAATTAATTACAAATCCAATTCCGACCGAAATTAATTCAAGTGACGAAACAATTTCAACATTAATATAATAACCAATAATGAGATTTTTTGGGCACAAAAAACTAAACACATTTTCATCAGGGATTTAATGTGAACATAAAATTTATGTCATTTCCAGTAACTTAATAAATATATTAACATTTAAGTCCATTGCCTGTCGTATAATTCATCGCAAGTGTTATTTCTCTTTGTCCTCTTTGTATATACAGATGATATAAATCGCGTTATTTTGCCCACAAATGTGAACAAAGATGAGTCCAATTATATCAACGCATCGCTCATTCAGGTATACATTTTATAATCATATTATTATTTATGTATTAATGTAATTATTATAGTATTTTATAATTATTTTTAATATTATCATAAGTTTTATATATTTCTCAATAACTATTATAAATCTTTAACACATGAAAGAGTAGTTTATCACTGATTTATGGCAAAGAGCCATAACTTTGAGTTATTACAGGAAAGTGTGATTACAGGGCATAAAAAGTAATTGTGTCTAAACTTACAATTATAGTGTTGTCTCACTTTCTTCACAGTTATGTTTCGTGTCTTAACATTTAATCTCAGATTTTGTCGTTTCATATAATTACAAAGACTTTGCTTTACTTTTGGGTGTCATTTAGGGTTACGACCGATACCTGTCATTCATCGCCACTCAAGACCCTCTCGAGTCAACTCTCAAAGACTTCATTTGTATGGTATGTATGGAAACGGAATATTCATTACAACCTTACCGTTCAAGTGCTCAGCAGTTTAGCATTGAATGACATGTCTTTTGTATGAAAAACAATGTCAATTAGGTATACGAAGAGAACGTATCGGTGATTGTGATGCTATCGGAGGCGACAGATGTCTGTTACTGGCCGTCAACGGAGTCAACGTATGGTAATTATAGCGTAAAGTTGATGAACAGACGGCCAGAGCAGCGGTCGTCGGCGCGCATATCGGCTCTGGAGCTGAACGTATCAAAGCTGTCGTCGAGTGTGACTGAGACGAGCGGTGATGGCGTCACTCCTGTCCAACACGGGGTCACTCTCTATCAGTTGTACGGCTGGAGTGATCCCATTATACCGGAGACAGCGTTCGCTGTAATAGAGTTATGCGAAACAGTGCTGAATGAGTGTCGGAGTAAATCACCGATTCTGGTCCAGTGTTGCAACGGTGCCCAGAGATGCACTCTTTTCATTTCACTGCTCAGTCTTTTACAGCAAATTAAAGTCGATAAGAGAGTCGATGTCTTTCAGACGGCCAGAGCTACTAAAATGCAGAGATGTTCAGCGTTTCAACGCTTCGTATGTATACTTTAGATGTGTTTTTAGTGTCTAATAAATATATATCGAGTTTTTTTGCTGTGTTTTACACTATTTTATTTATTTCTTACACTCAATAAACTATCAAATATTAGTTATATATTTTTTATATTCTGTGACACATATATAAAAATAATATTTTTATATTATATATAAATGCCTTTTACTAAATGACAGATCTTTAGCCGCTTTTATCCTCACGACTTCTCCACTCTATTATGTCTTTCAATCTTAATATTGCTTTTTCTCGTTTATGATATTCTCACGACAAAAATAGATATAAAAACATGATATGAATTAAATTAATCAAAACATTTACAATAGAGAGAGAGAGAGAGAGAGAGAGAGCAGGAGAAAAACTAGCGAAAGTTATTTCAAACATTATTATATTTTTGTTAAAAAGTATTTTTCAATAAATTCAATACACTGTGAGATAACCGCATATATTCTGTATATATTGTGTGGCTTTTATGGACGCAACAAAAATTTAATATTATTTTTCTTGAAACTAAAAATCTCTGTGTATTTCAGCTGAAAATTCCTTCAAAAATCCAAAGAAAGAGAGAGAGAGAGAGAGAGAGAGAGAGAGAGAGATGCTATGCATTTTGGGGTTGAGCTCAATCTCAATGAGTGAATGACTACAACAGACTATAAATAATGAAAGAATGAACAGAACCTCAAAATAAAGAGCAAAACATGATTACTAAATGATGAATACGTTTTATAACAAAGAGAAATAAATCTAGAAATGCATAAAACGTTTTCTCAACAAATTTGAAAATAATCTGACAATTCTTTCCTTTCCTTCTTTGCCTTCTTTTTCTATTTTTAACATTTTTTGTGCTTTTTATCTAACATTAAATTTTTTCTTTTTCTGTTAACAATTTTGTTTGTCTCCCAAAACCCATAGGAAGAGTACGCCTTCTTATACACAGCACTTATGGATTATATCTTATCGCGAAATCTTTGCGACACAAGTGATGTTGTTTTATAACTACTGTCCAAAGGAATGGCAATTGTCTTAACGCTGAAGACAATTGAAGAGATGTTATTAGAGATATGGCATATGTATGGGAGAGAGTGAGTGGTCCGGCCGTCACATCGTATAAAAGTTTTGCCGATAAAACGGCTGAACATTTTTTCTGCAATTTAGATGTTTATCTGATTTAATAAATATTTTTTTGCTTCAATTTCTTATAACAGTAAAAACTTATATAAGTTATTGTTTATTAAATAAAATGAGAGTTAAACTACAAAATTGTAGACAAATTACTTAATAAATGCAAAGAATTTATAAAATAAAATTTGTTACTAAAAATAACTATTTTGTTTTTGCCGTTATTTTGTTGGTTTGTTTTGATAATAATCCAAACAATCATCTAATCCGACAAACAGTACTTTATATTTATTTTTGTTTGTATTGTGTGTATGAAAGTGTCCACAAGAGTCGATGGGATTGGTATCAGTGTTTTGACACAAATCATCCGCTTTTATACTGTATATCAGTTCATTGAATGGAAGCGAGAAATCGAGAGTTCAATATAATGTTTAAAAAATAACAATACAATACTTTTTTCATCTTTCCATCAGATTGTGAAGAAGTGTTATTCAAACAAAAAAACTCGATTTCTACTTAAAAAGTATTTTTTCAAACTTTTCGTTTGATTTTCAGAGTTTTGTAAAATATTTTTACAATAAAACACGAGAGAAGAGTGTATATGAGATGTGTGTTTGTGTAACCAATGTCTGGCCAAAACCTGATTGTTATGGACATCAATATCTGGTTTGTTATCATTCATCAAAAGATACAACACTTCTCTTATATGTGAAGAACACTTACTTTTAGGGCTTTATTACAAATGACATGACTTTTTCGTTTAGAGATTTTAATGAATATATGACCACTTCGTTAGTCTGAGATCAACCAAAAACATTTATCAACTCTCTCTCTCTCTCTCTCTCTCTCTCTCTCTCTCTCTAACAGATAATTGGTATTGTAATCTTAATTTGGATACGATTTGCATATTATTTGATGAATATCTTCATATATTATTAATTTGTTGATTTGTAACATTAATTAATTTTCATATAAAAATATATGTATTTTACTTTTGAATATTATATTTTGTAATTTTAAACATTCAATAAAGACAGACAACGATTAGTTTATCATTCGTTCGCTTTTTTAGCAAATTTTTATTGAAATTTTACTGAATTTTTGAACAAATGAATGGAAAGAGAATCCAATTTAATATTATTCGCTGTGATTTCAATTCTATCACTTCTATTGATTTTTGTCTAAAATGTTACTTAAATCGGGATTTTGAATATATTTGAGAACAGACTTTACTTTTTTATTTGTTTCATTGTATTTTCCAGTGATATTTAGGATAGGTTTTTGCATTAAAATACTATATTATAGTTTTAATATCTATTTCAATGAATAAAGTAAACGAATTTATAGTATAAGACATAAATTTGTAAATCTTTGCACTTTTTATTTCAGAAATGGTTTAAAAACAAGAATTCGTGCGAAACTTAATATTCAAATTACATAAAAATAATGTTAAATTAATGTCAACTTAACTCTCAAATCAAATCCAATTTATGTATCTTTTCTAAAAAACTGATTTTATGAGAAAAGTCTAGTTTTTATTTTTGTGTGAGTTTTACATTTGTATAAGAATTTCTATTAAATAACATAATATTACGAAATTATTGTGTAAATAGTGTTTGAAATACACATTTTGCAATAATGTCTATCATTTGCCGGCATTTATTTTCATATAATAGAAAACAATTTTTTGCGTTTAAATCTATTGTCACGAATGGATCAAAAAAAATATAACAAAAAATGTTGCCTTCAAGGGGTGGCTGCGAGGCGTTTGCCTCTTCTCTACAATTTCAATATTTTTAGTATTCATTGCTTTACATCTTCTCAACAACTATTGTGCACAACAATGACAAGTGAGTGAATATACTCTATAATATACTTTATATACGAGAGTTGTTGTAAATATTTTGATGTATACTTTAAAATATCATATATTATTGTCTGAGAAAATATATTTCTTTCTCACTTTTCGTAAACAACTTATCCATTCAATTATGTGAGATATACGACATGCAAAGCACCGGAATCTGAATACCTTTTTGTATAAATTGAATTTATGTATGAAATTGAATTTAATTATTATTACTATTCAACAAAAATGAAGCAAAACTTAAATATTAGACAATCCATTGATTTTCCTAAAATATATTTGTAATGTAATATTTTCTGTTTCAATATTTATTGAGTCATTTGTACAAAATATTAATAAATTCTAGAATTATACCGTACATTAATATTTAAATACATGAATAAATACATTTTATTTAGCTTTTCATGATTGATTTCTTATAAATAAATATTGGTTAAAATCACAAAAACACAATCATTGCCCATAGCATGCAATGTATTGATATGTTTACTCTATTAATAAGCCAATTAACCATTAATAAATGAAAACATCAATTTAAACACAATTGACAAGCATTAATGTAAGCAATTAACTTCTTAGACAAATCGGTTTTAACGGTAAGCAAAATCTTTTTGGAAATAAATTTGCAATAACTGTATTATACAACTGTAATGTAAATATTGGTATATTTGATTAATGTTAGTCCTTTGATATTTCTAGTGTTTATAGAATTGAGAAATTAATTTTATTATTTAAGTCTACATTCTTAGGCACTTGTAACCAAGTTTCATTATGATCGGGTGAACCAATAACTAAATTGTTTAATTAATTCTTGATCGAATTCTAAAAAGATATCAAAATTATCTATTTTTTCTCTAAAACATTTTACAAACTTTTCTTTTACATGAAATATATATAAATCAATAAAATTTCATAGGTTTTCATGTTGAGAGATTAAAATATTTATGGTCTATCAAAGATTTATTTAAAAGTCAATAAAGATTTATTGTAATAAATTATACATTAAAATCCAATGAAATTTAAATAAAAAATAAATCGATTTCTTATAAAATAAATATATTTTTATATAATAAAAAATTAATATTAAATGATTAAACCATTTATTTAAATTATAACATCATTAAACATATATTGTTTTCCAATAAAAAACTTATGGAAATAATTTGATCAAGGCCAATATACATATTTTAAGCCAAAATTGATTTGTATTTTTGAGTAATATTTTCAGATTTAATTCATTTTCTATAATGTTTTGTGAAAACGACTTTCGCTCCAAATATTTTGATGAATAGACTCAACAACTAATACACAGAAATATTTTCCAAACATTAATGCATTCATTTTTATCGATATTAAGTAATCTTTTTATATATTTCCCAAACATAAATCAAAATACGAATTTAAAATTCTCTCT